GAATGAATGAATGAATGAATGAATGAATGAATGAATGAATGAATGAATGAATGAATCAGTGATGATGATCTAGGAATCACTGATGTATGAATTTGGATTTTTCTTTTAGAAACAGCAGTGGTAAAGGATGGGGTTGCATCTAGACTGGGATACTTTTTTTTTTTTTGCACCTTTGTACTAAATTCTATTGTGTGGATAAAGAGGGTCAAATTCATATGCCATTATCCTAATGCAGCTTTCCCAGCCACTTGGTCTAAATGCACATTTCTATGAGCAGAGCCATTTGGAATGGACTAACACATGGTACTGGACCATGTAATCTGGGCCTCAGAATGGTTCAGAAAGAGATCAGACGATTCAAGTCAGCTGACTCTTTCTTAAGCTACTTCTCACTGGAGCAGAAGCCAGCAGTTATTCCACCAGGCTGCAAGGCCAGCCAGCCCACTGGCTCAGCTATAACCAGCCAATGTAGGCTTATCTTCTTTTTAAGTTGCTTCGAATAAAAAGAAAAACAATATTTGGCTACATTATAGTAGTCTAGTTCCATGCTTATGCCTGCATTTGCTGTTATAGCTGGTTGACTAAATGAACCCAATTTTCTGGATTTGCAAAATATAATGAGCTATACATTGACTGGGGGGAGGGAGGTCATGCCCTTAGCTCCTCAATTGTGGGATGTCTCTAGGCTTGAGGGTCTCTCCCTGTTTAATATCTACATGAAATGGCTGAGGGAGGTCATCCATCTGTTTGGGGTCTGGTATCATCAATATGTGGATGATACCCAGCTACATATCTCGATCTCAGGCCAACCAAGTCATGCTCTCAAGGTCCCGTCCCAATGACTGGAGGCTGTGTGGGACTGGATGGAGAGGAACAGACTCAGGCTCAATCCTGACAAGACTGAGCGGTTGCAGATACTTGGGCCTCCTGGGACTAGGATTTTCCACCACTGAGCTTGGAAGGTGTTGCATTTCCCCATTCAAGAGTAGTGCGCAATCTGGGGCAATCTTGGACTCACAGCTCCTGTTCAGATGGCAGGTGTGGCCAAGAGGGCCTTTACACAAGCACATCTAGGGTGCTTGTTGTGCCCTTTCCTGGGCCAGGAGGCCTTTCAGACAGTCATGCATGGACTACTGTAACAGGGCTGCTCTTGAAGACCACTCAGAAGTTACAGCTGGCCCAGAGTGCAGCAGCACGGGCAGTGATCAGCATGCCTCATTATGCCCATGTGACCCCACTGTCTGTGAGCCGCACTGGTTATTGTTTGGCTTCCAGGTGCAATTCAAGATGCTGGTTATCACCTAAAGCCCTTCATGGCATAGGGCCAACTTATTTGAGGGCCACTCATCTCCCATTGTTTCTTCCTTTCCAGTAAGACTGGGCAGAATTGATGTAGGTCAGGTTCCTTTGTTCAAACAATGCCATTTATTGGGACCTGGGAAGTATGCCTCCTCTGTCATGGCGCCTGTCTTTGGAATAATATCTCTCCAGAGAGCCATTTGGCTCCCACCCTGAGGATGTTCTGGAAGTCTTTAAAAACTTGGCTGTTCTCCCAGGCCTTAGGAAGTTTGCTTGTGTTTTGTGGTATATGGAGTGTGGCCTGCCCAGACATACACATTTTTTTTCTTATTGTTTTGTATCCCTTTTAAAGCGTAAGTCACCCACAGTTGTCCTGGAGTCACGTGGCCTCTAAATAAAATAGATAAATAAACCTTGAACAAGATGTTCAGTTAAGTCATTTATGGCTCAGTGTGTCATGTAAACACAGCCTACAAGACCCATTATGAGGTTAAAAATTGATCTCTCTGCTCTTTTCTTTTCCTATCCTTTTTTATTGATCTGAAATCCTTTGGGAGTCTTTTCACTTGAAGAATGGATGAAGTTTATAAGTAACCAACAAATACATCAACAAAGGCAGCAGCCATACAAGGCAAAAGATGCTCATCTCTTTCCATTCCACTTTTATCTACATTTTGATGCTTCTTGTTTGATCAGGAAGGATGAATTATTCAATTAGTCGTTTATTCACAAAAGTGCAGTAGTTTGCACTGATGAAGCATGATAATGGACAGCATATTTATGACAAACATTTAATTCAAAAATTCTGGATGGTATATGAGCAATTTAAAAAAGGCATCCAACAATTGCCTCAATTAATTAAAATCTCACAATGCAATCTAAATACTAGATGTTTCTTACCAAGTAAGCACAGAGTGTGCATCCCATTTTTCCTGTTTTTTATGATTTTGTCAAAAAAACTCTCAGGCTTCCATGTGTCTGTCCAGAACACAATAGAAACTGTTTCTCCAAAGTTGTAGAGCTGTGAAGAAGGAGGGAGAGAGGAAAGAAAATCTTCAGTCATCAGTATATTGTAACCCATAAAGTAATATAAGATGGGGTTACAAACATTTAGTATTGTGGGATTTTTCAAGTGTACAAGAAATGGTGAATTGTACTTATTTTTACATGTCAAATGCAGTGTCTGGAACCAACTGAAGTACACTGGCCAGAGATGTTTTTGAAAATTGGTCCTCCATATGTCCTGGAACTGCCCCAATTTCTTCTTTGCCTATTCCTGCTATTTTAAAATGGTATAATTATATAACTACTGAGTGTCAATGTAAAGTAGTAGTTTGGATTACGACCAGAGAGAATCAGGCTCAAATCCATCCTCAGCCAATGAGGCTTACTGGATGGCTTTGGGTCAGTCATTATGGTTCAACTCAACCAATCTCAGGGTTTTCCTACAGAGAAAAATGAGGAGCCGCTATATACACTGCCCTGAGCTCCTACAGGAAAGTGGAAAAGAAATACATCTAGTGAGTGAGTGAATGAACACATAAAATTACAGATAACTGTGAAAGCAAGCAGATGCTATCAGTTTTTCAGTCCCATCAAAAATGAGTAACTGAGTGGGACTTCCGGGGGAAGTATGGCAAATGAAGATGATTCTGTGAAAGTGGAACAGACTACTGCAGCAAAGACCAAGGAACCAGTGGGTAGACCAGTCCCATGGAACCTTTCCAGGTAAGAGGACAAGAGATTGCCCACATGTGCTGTAATGGCTGCTCCTCACACGGAGACTACAGGACAGCAGTTTTCCACGGGTTCGAGTGCCGGGAGACGGTGGAATCAGCCATCTTGCTCTCAACCACAGCAGAGCCTTTTAAAGGACACTAAGTTCACAAACCTCACTTTCTAATCACTTTTGGAAATTGTCTATTAACCATCTTAAAGCTACTAGACACCTTTGGAACGACAGGTTTGAAAAGTCTTCATCAGGTGAGTTATCTTCAACTCTGAACAAAAGAAAAATTAATTACAGGCTTACAAACTTAAAGAATTTGAAATAAACAGCAAAAAGCTAAATAAGATTTTGATCTAAGAAAATTAGAAATGGATTAAGGGTCCATTTGTTTGGACATTCCAATATTCCAAGATAAATTTGGAATATTGACTTTTACTATAAGATTTTGGAATTAATTATAAAAATAAACAACCTCTCATGGAAAATACACTTATTTTGGATATCCTGGCTATTGCAAGTCATAACAAAAGATAAGTGATGATTTTAGAAACTGGACACTAGAGGGGACTAAAGATTTTAAGCAGAAGAAAAAAAAATACAAGCCTGATGTCAGTTAATATTGGGACTCACAAAATGACACAAAATGTTGTAACAGCAGAAATACTAAAGGAGATCTTTGAAGAATGGAGCCAAAAGTTAGTAACTACAATATAAACACTGTCAGTAATGATGTCTGCTTCTGTCTAAAAGAAATTAATCAAGGAATGATAGATGTGGAACAAATTTTATCTGACAAGATAGAGAAAGTACAGAATGTGGAACTACAAATGACAGGCCAAGAGAATGTTTTAGAAAAGGATGCTTTATTGGCTGAAGTTTTAAAAATTAAAAGGGAAATATAAATGATAAATCAAGAGAATGACCCAGAAAATGTTTTGTTACCAGATTTACAAAAGAGGCATGTTAAAGCCTTGAAAAGATCTGTGTGATGGGATAAAGATGAATTGAAATCAAATCCTATGACAATATTTGAATTAAAGGTTAAGACTGTTAGAAGTAAAAAGAAGGAATATAAAGTTAGTTTATTTGAACAAGTTAAAATAAGACTTTTGCAGTGTTCTGGTAACCCTTTATGGACTTTTTGCTGACACCAGGATTGAAAAGTTGATGTTTTATGGATTTGCTTATACAGGTGAAACTCGGAAAATTAGAATATTACATGACATCAATAACACAAGGATT